TTTACTATTTCTTGTAGTTTTTGAGTGCATAGAATCTTCGGTATAAACTATAGATAAACAAAGCAACTTGAAACTGGAAGTGAAAAATCAAAAACGTAATAAGCTTAACTGCATCTTTATTATTGTAAATAACGTGTGAAAAGCAAGTTACATTTTTCTATGAAGCTAAAAATTGAGGAATTTAGTGAGTATTTTGCATTTTATTGAGATACTACTTAAGAAAAGTACTACAAGAATATGTCGATTTGCGCTTGAGAATCGAGATTTCTTTCAGTTCAACGATTGTTCATAATGAGTCTCTTTATAAATTCGTTACATACAAGTACACGATAAACAAGCTACTAGTTTAACCTAAAAATATGAATACCAGCTTATTTATTAAACGTAATTTATCCGACCAAGGTCTTTATTTGTAGCTTTGGGAATATTTTCGTACGGTTTGTTGTCATTGCAGTTCTTGCATCGCTCGCATAAAATTATCTTCAGTTTGATATTGTTACCAGATACCAGTTCAATAAAAAATCTCTATGAACATGAATTCCACCTTCTTATCCATGAAACGGAGTTCATACGACCAATGCTTTCATGTGTTATTTGTGGCTTTGTGAATTTTTTCGTCGGTGATGCTGAAGTGCCGGCACGTCGAAGCGGCTAATCAAACATCATTTAAAGTGTCAAAACAAAGTCTTTCAGCAAGTATATTCCTGCAGTTTTTCAAAAATCTCATCTTGATATCATTTCCATACCAATTCTGAAAGGAAACGTAACATACAGCTTTACTTCAAATCAGTGAATCGACGAAGATGTAAATGTTTTCATTCAGCGAAAGCAGTACACATTCGGTTGCTGGTTTTACCTACCTTTTTCTAATTTTTTTGCATCCAGTTGACCTTTTGACAGACATGCACCCTTTATCCTCAAAGAACACATAGTTTATGATTCATTTAAGGTCACTAAATAGGCAATTTTGAGGCAAAAAAGAAAGAAAGAAAGTCCGTCGTCCGCCATTTTTTTCACATTTTGTGCCAACTTCGCCTTTCGTTAAAACGTGAACTGTAATTGGCTGGTTGAAAAAGCCATTGAAATGTTTGAGGTAAGGAGAAACCTAGTTTTGATCATAAAATTATACTCGAATTCTAAAGTTTTTAAAGCCATATTTTAGAAATTGTGTTGGCATTTTAATGGTCAAAATTTAGATCATGTTGAGGATTATACTTACTTAGGTCTTACTTTTTACTATAATGGCAATTTTAATTTAGCGATTAAGTCTTTATAYAACAGGGCATTAAGGGCATATCATAGTCTCATGTGTAATCTTTCAAATGCAGAAAACGTACCTGTTAGAGTGTTACTAAAACTTTTTTCAACTCTAGTTCTACCTATTTTACTTTATGGTTGTGAAATATGGGGAGCTTATCTTCTCAATAAAATCTCATCTTATGAAATCTTCAAACAAAAGTTTTGTAGTGTCATCAACGATATCGAGCGTCTTCATCTAAGATTTTTAAAACGCATTCTAGGTGTACACAAAAATTCGACCAATGTTACTATTTATGGAGAGCTTGGGAGAGCGCCATTAATTATTCAGATTTCAACTTTGGTGGCAAAGTATTGGATGCGTGTAAATAATCCTTTATTTGAATCTACCCTTGTTGGAGAAGCAGCTAAATTTTGTATGCAAAGTAATCTACAAGGAGTCAATTTTACTATCTTCTTTATATGTGTGATTTAAAATTCCTCAATGATTTTACAGTTCCTTTAGATGAATTACATAGTTTTGGTAAATTCATAAAATTTAAATTAAACACTTATTATTCTCTGTATTTTAACAATCAGTTACAGAAAGGAAATGAAGGTGGAAAACTTCGTACCTATTGTTAAATAAAGAATAATTTTAAGTTTGAAAATTATCTTGAAAACGTTAGTAATGTTAGAGTAAGTAAGTAAGTAACAACTTTATTTATAGAGGATAAAACACTTAATAGTACAAAGTACTAATAAACTAGTGGTCCTCTAGTTAAATATATCTAAATAAATCTATTTACATCTCATATACTATGAAAAATAATATAAATCAAACAATGACGGAAAAAATAATAATAATTAAGGATTAAAATGTAACTGATCTAATTGTTCATTAAAATATTTACGGCGGATGGCATTTTTAAAAGATTTTAGACTTGCCTCCTTCTTTAAATTACCTGATAAATTGTTCCATTCTTTTATAGTAGTAACAGTAAAACTCTTGCCAACTTCCGTTTTACTACTGTATTTAGGCGTTAAAAAGTTTAGGCTGGCGAAACGTGTATTGCGGCTATTTACATAATTATTTATTTTTAATTGTTTGATCATATAATGAGGTACCTCGTGCTGGATTCGCTTATATAAAAGAGCACACTTTGCTATATTAGACTCTACATGAAATCAGGGGCGTAGCCAAGGGGTCCAGGGGTACCCGGGACCCCCCCCCCCCCTTTCAAGCGAAAAAAAATCTAATTAAAAATCAATTTATTTGTTCTCTTCTCGAAGCCTAGCCTCTAACACAGCCGCGTTTCAAATAAAAAAATCGTCGAAAATCGAAATTATGCGTTGGGCTTCCTGAGACAAGACGTTCCATATATGGCAATGCAATAAGCTGTGCGCATGACAAAAAGCAAAAAGCCCGCAAATGGAAAACTCACAGAAAGCTTGAAGATGTCAAGTGGAAAACAAACCAGCTTATTTTCTTATTTCAAAGAAAAAAGGTAAGTTTTTGCACTATTTTAATTCGAATTGAAGTAGAATTGAATAAGCTTTCTCTAATATTAACAGAAAGTAAAAAATATTGATTCAATTCAACATTTAAAGATCAGCTGAGCACGACGAGGAAAATCAAGTCCAAGTCAGTGAACATGAACCGCCTCCAAAGAGGAAAACTCTTGATTGTGAGACTAGTGAAGAGGCAGCTTGTGGTAAGTTTGCATGAGTTTCAGTGAGGCTAGTGATGAGTAGTAGTAAAGATATGAGTTTTCTTTGCTTGCACTTTGTTGTGGAGGAGCGCTGTGTCATTTTTTTTTATCAGTGGCTTGTTTATACCTAATAATTTCGCTCGCTCGTCTTGCCTTCAATTTAATTCCTGTCCAAATATTTTTGCCAAATACAAACCGCTATAGTATCTAACGATGGATCCCTCTAGCCCTACCTGTATCTAGAGTACTAGTAGTAGATGATTACAGTATTTTAATTGACACCAGCATTCTTTGAATCAATAGGTTTGCTGGATTGTCCAGATGAAGTAATTCTCATCATTCTTCAAAACCTAACCCTTAGGTGTATCACTCAAAGCTTGACATGCACTTGCAAACGGATGTATCGCTTATGTCATTCTGCTGTGCTGTGGAAACGTTTTACTTTAGCAGAAACTGGTCCTACTTACTACACAATACATAGTTTTGAGAGTATATTTCAAAAGCATGCAGAGCATTTTCAAAATTTATATTTTAGCGGAGAATTCAACCACGATTTGCTGTACTCTTTCCCAAAATTCAAATTTACCAGAGCGTTACGAAGTTGCTGTAATCTTGTAGTTTTAGATTTGACCTCTAATTTCCACATTGAAGATATTACTTTTATTGAAAACATTTACTTACAGGAGCTACACTTAGAGCTGTGCAAAAATATCGATCATATGACTGCTAGTGCAGTTCTCACTACAGCAAAATGTTTGCAAGCTTTAGAAATTCTAAATTTAAGAATGTGTGAGCAATTTAACTCTGATCAAATGATTGCTATTGCACTCAGTCGTCCTAGTCTAAAACTATACAGAGTAGACGGCTGTGTTGAGCTAGATTTAATGTCAGCTATCAGAATTTTAAACTCTCCGCGGCTAGTATCTTTGACGGAGTTCTTTGTGACGCCAGATTTGGACCTGAATTCAGAACGAGAATGGCTGACATTGCAAACCTTGTTTAATGAACTAAAATTATATTGACGTTCCAGGTCTAATTGCAGATCATTGAAGTTAATGATAAAGACTTGTTTATATTTTTGTCCTCTAAATTGTTACATATTCTTAAGTCATGTACGATATATTCTAATGAAATATAATGCATGTTTGAACAGTGCCTGCAGAGTCGTCTATTAACAAGGGCAACTGCCTCTTATTGCTCAGACTTCTATATCTGAATATTCTAATGTTCATCCCTTCCATTCATTCATATTTTAATTTACTCATGATCACTGATGCATTGATTAATTCACTCATCCAGATTCGTTCTAATAATTATTCCATTCATAAACCTATTCGTTCTTTCTCTCATTCATCCATTTATTTATTTTTATTTTTTGATCATTTATATAGTTTTTGAAGACAAAGATGCCACATCATCTAGTGACAAAGACAATTTTGCTGGACCTTTGAAACCTGGAGCAGTTGAGGCTTTATCCGACCATGAAAAGTATGTTTTGTTAACAAAGAACTTTACACCTGGAGAAAAATTCGTTTTCCCAAAGACTAACAAATACGGTAGAAATAGATCGTTTCAATTATCGTGGCTAAAAGAATATTCATGGCTTGTGTATTGTCCATCAGAAGATGGTGGTCTTTGCAGAGTATGTATGCTGTTTTCTTCTAATAGTAACACTGGAGTCTTAGCAAACTCTGTGATGAACAAGTTGCACAAGGCAAAGGAAATTCTAAGAGGTCATGAGAAAACAAAGTACCATAATGACGCTCTTATCAAAGTAGAGAATTTCTTAAAGACAATGTGCTGTCCAGCCAGGTCAATTTCCTCTATGATAGATTCTGCTAAAATAGCTCAGATAGAATACAACAGCCATAGAGAAGACAATAACGAAGAATGCGCTGGCAAAAATAGAGGAAATTTTCTTTCTCTTCTTAAATTTCGTGTAGAAGCAGGAGATGAGGTCATTGCCAATCACGCGAATGTCCAAAAAATGCGGCATATGCATCTCCTGCCATCCAAAATGATTTAATACAGATCATAATGGAGCATATGCGACAACAGATAATCGATGAAATACCATCACATGCATCATTTTTTACGATTTTAGCCGATGAAGCATCTGACGTTTCCAACACTGAACAGCTCTCTTTATCAATTCGATTTGTTGATGAAAACTGTAACATACATGAAGAATTTCTTGGATTTTTATCTTGCGAACGGACAACAGGTGAAGCTTTGGCAAAGCTGATCTACGAACATTGGTCATTAGATATAAAAAACTGTAGGGGGCAAGGCTATGACGGCACAGCATGCATGCCGTCATCTCTGAGGGGTACTCAGGCTTTTATCAAGGAAAAAAGCTCCAAAGCAGTCTTTACCCACTGCAATGCACATTGCCTAAATCTAGTAATTGTTCATTCGTGTGAGATTCAAATGATCAGAAACATGATAGGAACTTTAAATGAAATTTGCCTTTTCTTCAAATACTCGCCCAAAAGAAACCTATTGTTACAGGCGGTCATTAACAACGTGCGTCCAGAAACAAGAAGGAGTAACCTTATAAGTCTTTGTAAGACTCGATGGGTGGAGAGACATGAGGCTTTTGAGGTATTTTATAGCCTTTACAAAGCAGTTGTTAAGACAGTAGAAGTAATTACCAATGAACGTCTCTACGCCGAAGACTATGGCACATGGCAATGGGACCAGGAAACGCGCACCAAAGCAAATGGGTTTTTGACCGCAATAACTCAATTTCAATTTATTGTAACAATGATCACGGTAATGAAATGTCTATCAGTGCTGAAACCGCTAAGCATCAGCTGCAGAAACGTCAATCTGACATTTATAAGGCATACTCCCAAATTGACTCTGTCAAATCTGATCTTAAAGCTATAAGAGAAAATGTTGAAAATTATTTCAATCAATGGTATGACGCTAGCGTCGCATTAGGAAAGGATGTTGATGTTTTACCAACCATACCTACGACATCGTGATAATGTCCCTGCCTTTACACCTCTCCAGTACTATCAACGGTCATTGTGCATCCCTTTGATGGATCACCTCATAGTTTATATGAACAACTACTTCATCGCCGAGCAGATTAATGTCTCCAAGCTTATGGTCCTGATACCTGAAGTTCTTTTAAACACCAAGGAAACACTTGACGAATCAATTGAATTCTACCAAGAAGATCTTGTTTCACCAGATATCATCGACGTCGAGCTTGCTCGATGGAAAAATAAGTGGTCAAATGTAGAGGAATAAAAGCTTCCTGGTAGTGCAGCGGATACCCTAAAAGAATGCGACCCTGTATTTTTCCCTACCATCCATGTACTACTCAGGATTCTTTGTACTCTACCAGTAACATCAGCTGAATGCGAACGGTCCTTTAGCACCCTAAAACGTCTAAAGACCTACTTACACAACACAATGACAACACACAGGGAGTCTGGCTTGGCGCTAATGAACATTCACTATGGACGATCAATCCGTGCTGAAATTTTCTTACAGAGTTTCTCGTTATGATCAACAAAATCTTATTTACAATTTAAATCAAGTCCTAAGAGCTGGACCGAGTCTGATTGTTCCAAAGTGCTTCCGCTGCTGGTTGTTATGGACAGAGAGTTTTCTGGCACTTTCCCAGTGACAAGTAAGGTTTTGCTTTTGGCCTCATTCAACGGTAGTTTGTTTCTTTTAGTCCAGTCTTCTACATTGTTAACAGCTGAAGTCAACATGTCACGCAACCTTGGGAGATCTTTAATATCAGTAGAAGCAGAAAGTGTAGTGTCGTCAGCATAGAGATCCACACTTATATCAGATGGCTGAACATGAAGTGGTAAGTCATTTATAAACACAACAAACAGTAAGGGGCCCAGAATACTTCCTTGAGGCACACCATGAGGGATAGCTGCAACTTCAGA